GTCTTAACAGATTTAAAGTCATCGATATGATCCTTGGGGACTTGAGCTATTTCAAGGAGACGAAGTTTATCCTCGTATTTTATAAGCGTACCACCCTATAAATTGTAAAATAAAATATATAATTAGAATTTCTCTGACGCTATTCCAGACGAATTGCATAATTCTCACGAAATACACCTTAACGTCCGCTCGCGTTTTGTCAGTTACTTCCATGACAAATTCAAGAGATGGTTCCGGACTTTTACTAAGCAACGACTTCAAGATTTTTATGTCTACCGTGGCACCAAGATTATCTATGTTAGAAATAAAACAATATTCGCGACCCTGCAAAAAATCCGAATTTTTTAAAATTTGATTATCGTGTCATTATTTACATGGACGTGAAAAATGCAATTTTATTACCTCACGAATGAATTTTTTGAGCAGACCAGAATTCAGGAAACTTTCATAGAAGTCTCCGTGACCGGGTGGATACCACCTGTTAACAAATTATGTATTTTTTTTCGTGAATGTGTTAAAATAATATTAACAGTGATTTTATGAAAATCGTTCTTACGCTTCTATGTCCTCATCAACTTGGCAGTGCTTAGCGATCGGAAGGAGGGAATCCCTATTTATGCGCGGATAACAACTCTGATTAAAAGTATAAATGTCTATATCAATTCCTTTGTACTTTCTAATTATGCGTTGCGTATCGTCGTCTGTGTTGAACGAATTCATCAGTATGAGTGGCACATTAGCGTTATACGTTTTATTTAGATGCTGTTACAATAGAAATACATACAATTATTATACATTATATTATAATCTTAAAACTAATAGTGATTATGTAAATGATAAGAATAAAATAACTGATAAGAATAACTTATATATATATAATTTGTCGCGATACCTCAATCTGCTGAACAGTGAGATCAAGAAACGTGAGTCCATTTCGTACAGCAATGACGGATTTCGGTCCGTGACATCCCATGCTCGTTCCAAGACCACCGTTTAGCTTGACGACAACCAACTTATCCAGCAGTTCCTTCACCTCGTTCGTCTCTGGTGATGGCAAAGAGTTGTAATTCTTGACCTGTGAAAAAAACATAATTCGGAATTATGAAATTAATTAAATTTCTATATTATAATATTTATTAATAGAATTCACCAATTAAAGCACTAATAAGATACAGAACGTTTTTAGAAAATGATTTCATAGAATCTCCATAGATCATCATAATAATTTCTCAACTCACTAATTATAATTAGTGACGATAATTATCAATCGATAATATCAGAGTTGTTAATTAAAATAAACTGAAAAATACGAGCTGTTACACAGAGTATCATGTAAATTTGAAAGAAAAAAAAAGGAGGAGGCACCACGAATATCTCCCCATAATTTTCTGTTTCTGCACGATCGGATTTCACTCACCGCATCTTCGGGCAGCTTCTGAATATGGTCCCATTCTAAGGACGGACCCTCCTCCTGCAGGAATCGCTCGAAAAGATGTTGGAATCCAGCGAACTGCCGACTAAATATCGTCGTCTTGTTCTCACGAGCGGTTGCCTGCAGCTTCTCAAGTTCGCGTTGTAGTTCATCCCGTGCATCTCTCTTCGTACGCTCGCGGAATGCCTGTGTATCTGAAGAGCTACGTTGGTGACCACGTGCCTGTAGAATTTTCTCCGTGTTATAGCTAAATCGATTTTTTTTACCTATTCTTTTCGCGAAGTCCTCCCAATCCGCTACGGTGAGCCGTTTGTCGCAATTCGAGGGCAAAATGTTACGCATGATAACTTTTCAAGATCGCGGCCGTATAAATTGACAAAAAAAAAAAAATACGAGAAAAAAGTAAGAAAAATAAATAAAATGTATACGCGTGCGATGACTCGGGATGTGTCTGACCGCTTTCTCAAAAAGTTTCTCGTTAAAATCTTCCTCGTCGGGACAAAATTCTTATGTAGAAACAATCTTGTAAAAATCGACCGCGATCTGCATCAACAAAGCGTCGCTAAGGACTGTTTTTTCTTTTTTTCTCTTCCTGTTTTTTTTTTCTTTAACATGCGACGAATTATCGTAAATCGTCATCATTGTCTTCTCAAAAAACGCGCGAAAGTAATCGCGTCGTTCGTGCCCGAGAAGGTCTCTCAAAAGGCAAACGAATAGATAGCGAATGCAAAAGAACGTAAAATAAATGGATGCAATGCGATAACGATAAATCCAGAAAAGAAAATTATCATATGAGAATCGGCGATTGAATTTTAACGCTACATATTTCGCTCGCATTTCAGGAAAAAAGAAAAAAAAATTCCGTTTTTGGTTCATTTTTTTTCAATTAATTAAAGTGATATCTCGCAATTTGTCTTTTATTATATTATCTACATGTTGCAGACTACGGCTAGATAGAAGCGTGTATATACATTTGTGTAACATTTTTATATGGGATTAAAAGGAAAAAAAAAAGAAAATATGCTAAATATCTTTTTTCTAATTCTTAGATACAGAAAAAGGAAAAAAGTAAGTTAATCTAGTATTTATTTTTCCAATGTAGAATAGCTTTAATCTCAGTTCAACTTGCTATCTTTTTCTAGTCGTAAAAATGAGATAAAGAGTAATTTTAACCAGCTATATGCTCTTTAATTGTGTATTGATAAAGAGTAAGTTTAACCAAGATCAAAGTTAATTTACTTGGCAGAAATAAAAAGAGAAATTTTTAACTGATTGACATGTAGAAGACAATAAGACAATAAGATTATAAAAAAAAAAGGTAAAGTATATGGTAATAAAAAATTAGAAAAAACCGTTTTTCTCAAAGTTTCCGTGAATTTTTTTTCATCTAAGAATATTCATCTAAGAAACCTGATCCAATGTCGTGATCGCTTTGATCTCGCCTGCGAGACGATAATTCGAGTTCAAGTTGACCCGGAGATTCTCGGTTTATTGCGGTAAAAAAAGAATAAAATGAAACGAGCGATATTTCATTTAATTTGATTTACAGTTGAGGTAATATTCTCAGATCAGATGGGATAGGATTGAAATAAGCTGATATTTAGAGCCGGATTTTATATAATACTTAAGACCATTTTAAGTATAATCTAAGATATCAAGAACAGATCAGAGATTAGCATCTTAAGACATTATTTGTGATTTATTTTAGTGTAAGTACCGCCTATATTTTTTCCCCTCTTCTCTATTTCGTGAATAAGACGTAAAAAAATGCGCTGGACAAATAATATAATCACTAATTTGAATGTTTAACTTTCAAATATATGTACCGCGATAATAATACAACGCACAACTGTCGACCTTGCATATGTAAAAGAGCGCAAAGTCAGCTTTGGTGAGAGGAATTTCGCGACTGGTTATCGCAGGACTTGCGGATTATCGCAGAAAACACTCGGACATTTACTGTGTTTAAACCTATTTTTTATACATTAGCATTAAAAATCATTAAATTGTGTAGGAAACAATAACTGATACTCGAGCAAACGCTGCTCCCTCGCCCCCCCCCCCCATTGACCTTTTTACAAAACCATGCGATAAGATAATTTCGAGGAACGAAGTACACATACATCGCATGAATTTTATCTCTCTGTTAAAATAAATAGTCGTTATTACGTTCGGTTACTCGGAATATCAGAAAGATAGGAAAGTGCCATAGGAAAAAAAAGATTTCGAAGCTAATAATAATTAATAATAATAATCATGTGAACATAATTTAAGCGCCATTATTAATAATAACATAATAAGCATAATTTAAACACCGTTATCGCAACGTTTATGACAAGTGTTAGCGAATAACATTCAGATATTTCGATTAGCTTGGAATCCATTTTGCGACATAATTGAATTGAACTTAATTCCCGCGATTTCTATCTTATCATCTCGCATCTGTTATAAATACATATCGCGAATGCCTTCCGATACGTGTGAAATAACTGTCGAATGAAAAAAGCGAGACCAGAAAAACGTATAGTTAGACTTGGTTCTACTAATATAAGATTAATTTTAATCTCGATTTAATTGACTCTGTTCTTTTTCTATTTCTTAGAATTACGCTCGTTTCTATAACTAGTTGAACGAAGATTAAAGCTAATCTTAGAATGAGAAAAAAATTAAGAATAAGTTAAACCAAGGTTAAATTTAATCTAGTATTTATACATTAGTTAATCTATTATACATTAGTAGAAATGAATATTAATAGAATTTTGGTCATTTCTTACGTAAAAAACTTAAACTTAAACAATGACGAAAGAAAAATTTCTCTCGCTATTTTCTATCTTTCGAAAATAGAACTTTTCCATATTAAGCCAGAACATGATCGACCATCATATAAATGCGTCAACTAATATTCGTTTCTACTAATGCAGTTTAACTTTAATCTCGGTTCAACTAACTCTTCATCGTTTTCTAGTTTTAAGAATGAGACAAAGATAAAGAGTAAGTTAAGTTGAACCGAGATTAAAGTTAATCTACATTGGTAGAAACGGATATAAGATAAGCCATTTACGGTCAAAGTCAGATGTTGGAATAATACATCTGTATTTTTAAATAAATTTATCTCGGATATGTGCGCCAATTGCTTTCACACTTACAACACAATTTCAATTTGATTGCATTGCGAGTTCGAATATCGGCGCACTGTCATTTGTCTGAGATAAATTTATTTAAAAATACATATTAATTGGTATTCATAATCTTCTAATTCTTGTATTCAAGACTGCCTTAAGATGTCACACTGAAAGAAAAGATTGGCTGAATATGATATAGTATTTTTAATTAGTTACAGCAGCTAATAAGTCATATTTTATATCATTTAAATTATTGTAGCAGCCAATCTTTTCTTTCAGTGCACGCGAATGAATCACAGAATCGTAGCATCTTAAGACGTTTAACTTAAAACTTGAAGAACTGAATATGAATATCTGACTCTGTAGATGTATTTTCATTAAAAAATGATTATTATTTTAATATTTGACTTTGACTGTATATACAAATGCTCCTCTTATTTAATTGAACTGCTTTCCATTTCGTTCTATACACAATTCATTGCACGAATTAGGAACAATCATCGCCTTTCAGAAATCCATGAAAAGATAAGCCGCACACAAGTCGCACGCGACATGAGATCGACTCGAGGCCAATGAGATTGGTATCACAATTACATCCCAGAATGACGCTGCGTACTCGAGACGGGTTCGCCTATCATTAGCTTACATAACGACAGATTAGTACGAGTGCTTGTATAAATCATTGCGTAAAAACTCGTGGAAACTTTTAGTCCGTGGCGAAAAAGAAGATCCCTGAAGTTCGCGGATCAGGTGGAGACTGATCCTTAAACGATCTCTCCCAACAAAACGTCCTCGTTGTCTCTATGATGACTGAGGGAACGTCAAATGTAGGTAACGACTTAATCTCATTAGATATCTAAAGATAGCCGTTATCTCACACACGTGGGGAACAAGGCACGAGACAGCTTACGGCAAAAAATCACTAATGAATATTACATTGAGAAAAATTTCTGGTTGGAAATCAGAAAATTTTTATCATATCAAGCAGAATTCTAGTTGTCTCAATTAGAATTATAATAGAGTAAAAAAATTTCTGATTTTTGTCTATTTTCAACCAAATTTCCAATTGATGCAACCAGACTGTTTTTTCAGTAAACGGCTACAAGCAACTGGTTTCTGACAGGATTATTTCTGATTAAAAATAGACAAATTGTAATATTAAGTCATATCAAGTAGAATTCTGTTTATTTAAACTAGAATTATAAGAAATTCAGAAAATTTCTGATTTGTCTATTTTCAATCAGAATTTCAATCAACACAATCAGACTTTCTTTCCAATAAACGTAAACAGCTACAATAGAAGCTGGTTTCTCACAGGATTTAAGGTCTCGCATTTAGATCCTCGCTACGATATGAGGAATTTACAAGTTATTTATGTTTTATCTAATCATCATCTATCTTTATCTGTCTGAATCTTTATCAATCTTAGAAATACATTCTTAGAAATAGATTCTTAGAAATACATTATTAGAAATAGATTCTTAGAAATACATTTCGCGGATATCCTGGAAGTTCGTAATACATTTTTTTTCAAACATTTGATGTTCCCTTCGATTTACTCTATCAACAATCAAACGAACAATTGAAGGTCAACAATAACGTTTTCCTGACAAAGAGATCGTTAAGATCTCTTTCTGCGAAGAAAGACTCCAAAATCTTTCAATTTTAATTCAAATGCGAGATTTTTTTTTACGAAAGAGAAAACGTTTGAGGATCTCTTAGATTCTAAGGCCAATATTATATGCGTCCGTTTTTTGTCGTACGACAAATTTTTTAAGCGTGTCAATCGGTTACACTTTGTTGTTAGCCAATCGACAGACTTGAAACAATTGTCGTACAACAAAAACGCATGTAATATTGGCCTAATTCGGTTGCGAATTTTTGTTTTTCGTCGGAAAGTAATCGAGAATCTTTCGGACTTAACTTAAATAAGATAAAAAGGAAACAGTCCCGCGATCGAGACCGGTGGAGAGACCGCGCACGGAAGTCAGCGACGTTTACCACTTACTTGCAACAGGTACTCCATGTGCGACACTTTGTACACGCGTAACGGACGATTGACGGTCGTGGAATGCGACTGTGACATCGCGCGTGCGACGATCGGCGGCGCTCCACCAAACACGATGTAAATACGTACACACACGTGACGTGACGTCCGGTCAAATGAGATACGGGACGTCTCTTTTCGGGCGCGAAATCTTCTCTGTTTATACAGGATTGGATCCTGGATGCGCAAGGATTCCACTTGACGCTCGTAGAATTATTTACCTTTATTATTATATATTTACCCTTATTATTTATCAAATGTTAAACAATTAGTATCAAATGTTAAACAAGGACAAATAATCCTCATGTGAGTGAACGTCAAATGAAACCCACCCTCTATAACAGAGTCTGTCTGCGGGATAATAAACTTTTGATTGGTCTTAACGATTTTGTTAACTTCAGTAGAATACAAGTTAGAATAAATAAGATAGTTATACAAATTAAAAAGAGATGTATATATTGTGTATCATATACAATTATAAATAATATGTATACACACACACACACACACGCTTTTTTCTAACTCTTGTCTTGACAAAATTCCCATGGCCAGACTCTGCTATAGGTATCTACACAAGATTGACGGTGTTATAGTACTGACTCTTCTAGACGGATTAGAAATCCATTTAAAAATAAGAACAATTGATTTTGTGTTCGACACGTGTTCGTTATCTGAAATTATACACCGGTTCGAAAAACAAACTATTTGTAGCACCCGAAATATAGACAAAGAAAATATCAATTGAGCCTTTAGAATTTGATCGGTTATTCGATAATGCTCGCAACTCGCTGGCTTGCATAAAAATGTATGGCCGAGGTTTCGTGGGATATATATATATATATATATATATATATATATATATATATATATATATCTATGAGTGCGTTTGTCGGTAAACTAGACATCTTGTAACATTATCATAAATTTAAAAAAAAAAGATACATATATGCATGCCAATAAGCTTTGCATTAACGGTAATACAAATGACGAGAAATTATATATTCTCCTTTTTTTTTTTTTGCTACCCTACACATTTTGAGCTTTTAGCTCGTAAGTGCGAGAAATGTCCATCATATCAATAAAATATATTTAACGAATTTGTACCATAAATTATTCATCAGATATTATCAAGTCTCTATCAAGTACATGAAAAAGATAGCCATACACTGTAAAAAATTAAAATGTTAATTTTAACTTAAAGACATATAGTAGATATAGTAGACTTTTTGATGTAAAAATGTTAAAATTAACACAAAATGTTCATTTCATCATTTCTGCATGTCTCACAAAGTCCACTGTGTGTCTTTAAGTTAAAATTAATTTATTTTTTACAATGTACGCATATCTATACGATAAATATGCATACACTGTATAAATATGCGACTTTATTTATGAGTTTGGAATAAATAACGAATTTGTTGAAAAGACGAACCTAATTATGCGTAACGTCAATGATTAAATGCGAAAGTTACGTTGAAGAAAAATAAAAAGTCCCAAAGCCGATCGATTCAGTCAGTTAGTTGAACTCTTAAGTGATCATCTAACTTTTATCCTAGAGTAAAAATTTTTTGTATGTACGTGTGTGTATGTATGTACATACATTACATAAAAATTTTCAGCTCTATAAAGCAGGATCAAATCAGCAGAATCAAATCGAATTTATTGGAATTTTTTCTCGTTTTGTATTAAATTGTACTATTAATAATAATTTTCGTGTGCCATTCCGAAAAAAATCGTGGCGGTGCTAGCTTAATATTAAGTTGGCAGGACTAATTCAAAATAAAAGAAAAAAAAATAAGAAATCAATAGGATTGAATTTATACTATTTTGCATTGCTAAAAACAATTCTACATCATGTGTCACTTCCAAGAAAGCAGTGGCGCTACCAGTTTATTATATAAGGTGGCATGATCATTAAAAAAATAACATAAAAGCAAATATTAACATAATTGAATTTGTACTAATTTCTATGTACCATTGAAAGTAAGTTAATATTTTACATGTTTTCTCCTTAAATGGACTATTAATATATATAATACTTACAATCTATGAGGCATTCCACGTCAATTGGGCACCTTTAAAACATCGTTATTTTTTTTTAATTTGCTAACATACCTATTCTACAGATAAAAATATGAGACCCATGTGTCGCGAAAAAAATGTGAAATATTTTTGTGAAGTTATTGATACTTGTAAGTTGCATAAATTTATATAAAAAATACAAAATTTTCCGAAATTAAAAATCCGATTCTAAAGATTTTAAATCGTTCTACGAATGATTATTTGTAATTTATCATTTTCATATAAATAAATCATTTTCCATTTGTTTACAATTTTTATCAACATTTTTCATCATCAACTCAATTTAGAAATTTTGTAAAAATATATTCCCATTTCAATTATAATGTAACCCTGAAAATTTCAGAATGAAACTCGAATTTTTTAACTACACAGTCCATTCGAAATATTCCATTTTTTAATATTCAGGGTTACTTCATAATTGAGATGGGAATATATTTTTACAAAATTTTCAATTTGACATGGAATGGCTCATAAATCGTAAGTATATATTAAAGTCATTTTAAGGAGAAAACATATAAGATGTTAACTTACTTTTAATGGTACATAGAAATTAGTACAAATTCCGTTGTGTTAATTTTTGCTCTTATGTTGTTTTTTTAATGATTTTGCTAGCTTAAATATTAAACTATTAGCAGCGCCATTGTTTTCTTGAAAATGACATTATATAAAATTGTTTTTGATAGTATAAATTCAATCCTACTGATTTCTGATATTATTTTTCTTTTTTTCTTTTATTTTAAGTTAGTCCTGTCAGCTTAATATTAAGCTAGCAGCGTCACGATTTGTTTTGAAATGGCACACGATACAAAATTATCGTTAATAGTATAATTTAGTACACAATGAGTACTAAAAATTCCGATAGATCCGATTTGATTCTGCTGATTTGATCCTGCTAGGTTTATAGAGCTAAAATTTTCACTTTTCACGTTTCCGCTCTAAAGAAAATGTTACATAATCGCTATCCTGGTTTCATTAATTTAATTCTTAAATTAAAAAAAAAATTTAAGTTAATCTCGATTTAATTTATTCTAAATTTGTGTAATTCCAAGAATTGGAAAAAGATGAACAGTAAATTAAAATTACAGAGATTAAAGTTGCTTTTATATTGGTAGAATCGGGCCTTAATTGTTCCAAGCAAAATATCTGTGATCATAAAATTTGTCGTTTTTAATCTTTCTTTCCACAGAAATAAAAAATTAATAGATTTACTTATGCTGGGAAATAATATTACGTAATAATTGAATCATTATACTCATCCTATTATTATTATTCGATAAATTAATCGCTAATTAATGTTTGTTTCATACTAATTTATATTAACTTTAACCTCAGTTAACTTTCTCTTTATCTTTTTCTAATTCTCAGAACTAGAAAAAGATAGTTAGTCGAACTGAAATTAAAATTAAGCTACATTGGTAGGAAATACGGGCATAAATGAATCGGACTTGAGTTCTAGGTCATCTTAAGATAACAGAAGTCGCAAGATAAGTTTCAACTGCGTTAAAAACGCCAGGCTAAAACGTCGAGCATAACCTCAATGCAAATCCATGGGAACGTATTCGGTAGTCGGAAACGAAACCAGCACGAGGAAAATCAGAGGACTTCGTCAATCGTTTGGAGAACAGATGCCAGATGGAACATTGTGCTACTTTTTACAACTTTGTCAAGGTCTTGTTAAGGTCTGCCCTTAACAAGTAAAAAACAGCAAATAAGAAACAATTATATGACAAAAGAATGTGTAAAAGAGCGGAGAGACGTGCGATAATAGGAAAGATAAATTGACGGGTAATATAAGGAAGAGAGATACTTTAGAGAGCTCGAGATTTACCTTTCTGTCGTCGACTTGCAGCATCGCTTGAGATTTTGTTCAGACGGTTGATGCTCTTTACGTTGCGGCAAAGGTCGCAACAGGTCGAATCAAAAATCAACACCTGTCGCGTTCGCTTCCGAATTACGTGACCTTACCACCTTAAGCACTGTACAGATTCCTCCGAACTATTACGAAAGAATCCATATTTTTACCTTGAACGTAAGATACCCTCGATCACAAAAATATGCCGGTTTGTGACGTGCCTTGCAGTCGGTAAGTAGCGCTACAATGACCGATTTTACCGACGAGGTGATTACGTCAAGTCACGTCTTTTCATGGCGAGCATATTCAAATTCGGTCTTAATTGATGTAAGTTAACAAATTAAAACATGAGACATATAATGAAGACAGGACAAAATATATAGACAGTGAAGGAACTCCCTTTTTTGAAGAGAAATTCACCGGGTTATCTATTATATACAAACTTTGATAGAAATATATTATATCACCGACGAAATACTAAATTAAAGACGGCGCTTATGGAAGTTACGTGATTGTTAAAATTACTTGATTAAAGATATTTTTTTATGTTGACGCTCAACGCTTATTTTTTGCGTCAAAATAGATCGAGATTAAAATTGACGCTTAATATTCATTAATTTTTATTACATGATCTGTTTTTATGCTAAAATGAACGTCAAGCGTCAAGATAAAAGAAGAACTCTTAAAAGTAAAAAAACTGCAGATAATAAAGTATTACATAATTTTATGATTTGTTATATTTTGCAAAGATGTATATTAATGTAGATAAACCAGTTTTTTACTTTATGAGAAAATTATCGATTATACATCTAATTATCGACTTAATGATATAGAACAAATATGTGGATAACATCGTGCGAACTGCTGGTTTAAGCGCAAAAACAAATATGTTTCACATTAAAGATGTGAAAATAAAATTTTATTTTTATTATACGAAGATATTATAAATATATATGCGTCTTTTTCTCAGTGCGAGAAAAAGAAATTAGAAATTCACACGATGTATCCCCGCATCTGCACAACCGCTAAGTCAATAATGAGGCACTCGAATGGATTGTATAAGCTGCGTTCGGTAATGCTCTTTTTCTACAGTGCACGTGACATATACTATAATATAAGAGCACTCCGACGTCTCAGATGTGCATTGCCGAACATAGCTATTGTTAAAAAAATTCTATTGTATCACGCCGCAGTTCCGCATTCGTATGCGCCATCACACAAGAATTTTTTAACTGTACAGTTCACTCAAGTTTTATTTTAAAATTTTCAGAGTTACTTCACATAATTGAAGTGGAAATATATATAATACTTTTTACAAAATTTTATAATTAATGAGTTGATAATGAAAAATGTTAATAAAAATTGTAAACAAATGGAAAATAATCTATTTATATGAAAATGATAAAGTAAAAATAATCTATAGTTTATAGAACAATTTAAGATCTTTAAAATCGGTCTCTATTACATTTTTTTTTGTACGACTATAAATTGTTTTGACCTTATAATAATTTATTGAATGTTCGCATGAGCGATATTTTTATAAATTTTTGCAACTTACAAGCGTAAATAACTTTACGAAAAACTATTAAATTTTTTTCGCGAAACACAAAAAATTGTTTATGCATAAATATGTAAATATATGTTAACATATATAAGCACGCATAAATATTCATAAACATGTACAATTATATACATACATAAAAAAGATTTTCGCACTATTTGTTTTAGAAAAAATCAAGCTTAAAAAAATGAAAAACAATTCTTATGTATAATTATATATAAAATTATGCATAATTATGTATGAGCAATTGTTTTTTACATTTTTCCGAACTTGTTTTTTTCTAAAACAAACAATGCAAAAATGATCTCTTCAATTATTTTTTATGTTTTCACATTACTATTATTTTTATTACGCTAAAAAGTAATTTTACAAAAAAAAAGTAAGGATGTATGAATATGTATGGACATATTTCATGTATAATTATACATGTTTATTAATATTTATGCGTGTTTAGCATAGAAATAAGTTAATATATTTAAAAAAATTTATATTCAAGTTTATTTGTCACGGGAGGATCCCGTTTGCCTACAATTCCGATTGCACACACCACTCATATCAACTGATGCCTAGTAATTTTTTACTACTTTACCAATGAGAATATTTTATTTTTAAATTGACCAATTAGCGACGCATGTATGCAACATGCAATATGTGCAATCGAAGCTTTTCCATTTGTCTATCCTTACCGCTTATCGCGCTACATATAATGGCTTCGGCATATTAGCACGATGTTAGTCGCACGCGACACGCAATATCCAATGACAGTATACCTTTAGAATGAGAATAAAAGCTGTACATTCATTGGATATCGTGTGTCGCGCGTGATGAACATCGCGCTGGTGTGCCGAATGGCTAATACCTGTTCTACAATAGGGTCGTAAGTCGTAAGCCGTAAGAAATTTGCCAGTCACAGTTAAGTCAGAAGAATAATCGGCTATGATTGATTAATTTCTTACGGCTTACTGCTTACGACTCTATGCAAAAATCTGCTCCCTGCATATAAAATCCGACTATGTATACCGGCCCTATTATAGAGCTTTAAATTCATTTTCCCATTTCTTCTTTTCACATTAGAGAGAAAAAAAGAACTGCAAAAAATTAAATTGAAAAGAAAAAAACCTTTTTTTCTTTTCATATTGAGAAGAAAAAGGAATACAAATTATAAAAGGAAAAAAAGAAACTGTGCAAGAGTTCAGCCAAAAAAACAGGCCTTTTTCTTTTCACATTAAAGAAAAAGAACACGTATAGACTTTGAAAAATATTCAACTAAAAAGAACAGGGGGTCGATTCTGTGTCTTCAAACAAGGTGAAAATTACAAAAGTGAGCAAATTTACTAAGTGTTCACCAATGAAATTATCAATATTCTAGTAAATTCGCTCACTTTTATAATTTTCGTTTTAAGATACAGAATCGATTCCTTCACCTATGAAGTAGGAAGAAATTAAAGCTAGAGGAAACAAATTTTTGATCAACACTAATTAGTGTTATTTTTTTTTGCGTTTAAAATAGATAACAATTCGTTGAAGAGAAAGAGAGAAAAGTGAAAAATACGCGTGTTCAATATATGCAAAGAGCAAACCTAAAGCGAATTGTTTCTCTGTTTTGTATCTACAGACTGTATTCTCATGGGTCGTATACCGGTCTAGTTATTATGATTATTATTTCTCGTTCCTCCAACTTGTTCCGACTTCTATTGGTAATCGATTGTTTACCAGTGTTTACATCGATTCATTTGTGAAAATTTTGTTAAGAGAAGCACGTGTGAAGTCTTGTCGAGCAGAACCATCGCAGTACTTGCCAATTTTATCTATCGGTCTATCTGATCTCATTCACGATTAAGAAAATTGTAACAAGAATTGAACAATGACAAGTATTTATTAAACCACTGTATCAAAAGAAGGATTTGTAAGAAAAAATTAAAAGAAAGGAACAGCGGATTTTCTTGCGATCACCGGTAAAAAGTACTTTTTGTATATACCAACGATAGCGTGAAGAAAAAACTCCTTATGTACCTTAATCTTTCTCTATTTTTCACTGCAAAAAGATTAATGTTTACGTCAATGTCTCGCATCTAATACAGTACTTCATTCTATTTTTAGATTTTTTTATATTATAGTAAGCATGGCGGAGAAATGTGCAAGCACCAATGACGGAGATTGTCCACCAGTGAAGAAAGTCAAATTGGACGATGGAAGCAGCAATGTAGTTGAGAACAATTTGGGCGAGAATGATATGAGTGAGACAGAACTGAATCTATCAGATTTCAAAGTGACTAGAGTGCTGCAGAATAACTGTGCTCGAAAGTTGATATGCATGGAAGGGACATTTGAGAATCGCGAGGGTCAGGCGGTCGTTCTGCTTGAGCAAAAGAGTTTTCCTCATGACAAGGTGCTCTTGGAGAAAGATTTCTTCGATGGAAAGACGACCTTTCGAAAGATATTCACCAATGATGTCTACAGAAATTACAATTGTTTTCCGACCGAGGAAAATAATGGTATATCAATGTCAATTTTTTATGTATTTTAATAGATTAGTTACTATTTTATAAAGTAATTAATTTTATTTTTCAAGGTCTACATGTGACTGTGATATACCCTGCTTCTCAAACACACATCGATAAATATAAAAGACAAGAATTGTATGTAATAGATGAAACCTATGAACTTTATCAGCAGGTCACTCTCCCTTACATTGAGTCAATGAGTCTGAGTTTGGAGGTATAGTTTATTTAAAATGTAACGTTGATTCGTATTTGACATAATTTAGAAGATTATTTAAATAGAAAGCATATTTTATTTCTATATTGTTTCTTTCTCTTTTTCAGTGGATTACTAATATTTTGGAACACAAAGCTGAACAAGAAAGTATTATTTATGAGGATCCTGACAAGGATAATGGTTTTGTATTAGTAACAGATTTTAAATGGGATAGACAGATGGATACATTAAAGTTATTGGCATTGCCATTTAAAAAAATAAGATCATTGCGAGAGTTGAATGGATCTCATCTTCCTTTATTAAAAAATATACGAGATGCTGGAACGGCAGCGATTAGTAAAAAGTTTAACATACCTGTGTCTCAGCTTAGAATATATTTCCATTATCAGCCATCATACTATTACCTACATGTGCATTTCTGCTATCTTATGTTTGAGGCACCAGGTAAAGAATTATAAAAAGAAACAGATATGTATATATTATTTTATGAGTAATTTTAGAATGGATATTTTAACTACAGTATATTATTTTTCATCTAGGAATATATGTGGAAAAAGCGCATCTTTTATCAACAGTTATAAGAAATTTGGAACTAATGTCGGACTATTACACGAAAGCACTACTTTCGTATGTCGTGTTTAAGGGAAGTCCACTTTATGAAAAGTTTAAATCGCATGGAGCTTTACAAACGTCAACGTGTGAAACACAAGAAACTGTAAATATAGTGTAAATAAGACCGCTTTACTTCCAGAAAACGTAAGTTATATTTTACGTTTGTATACAACAAAAAATTGATACGTATTCTGTTTACTGTTTAAAAATAAGAAAAGACAATCATAAAACATACAGTGTTATTAACCAGAAACGTTTTTAGGAATAGCGTAGGAATATTCGTATGAATAAAATATATTAGAATCATACCTTAAATTACTTATTGTTGAAAACAGTAAAAGAAAATGGAAGACTAAAAAATATTTATTTTTTGCACAACTATTTTTTAAAAAGAGATACATATATTTTACATAAATGAATAAAAAAAATATGACAGTATTTATATTTTGAAAAAGAATTATTTTACATTTAATATATCATAAAATTTAAAATTTTTATATTTTTATTGTAACCATTTATTGAGTTTAAATAAAAATAAAGTATGCGCATTTTTTCTCTTTGCATTATTCATTTAAGTAAAACAAATTATATAATTTCTCAGTTCTGTTGCAATATAACTGCAATAAAGAAACAGAAATTTCGAAAATCAAAGATGATCAAAAATTGACATGATAAAACATAATATATAATTGCAAAATCAAATGTGTTCATCTACAATAGGCATAATACTATACAGTAAACTGTAAGATATTGAACTGTGATTAATTGATTTCTTACGGCTTACTGCACCATATTGCTCCCATTGTAGATAACTCTTTATTACATTAACACGAGAAAAATTTACATAAAAATAGATAGTATAATATGTAATGTAATATAGATTGGTAAGGGCGAAAACAATAAATATATTTCATTACTTATAATTTCTCTTGTCGCTTTTAAACCTTTTTATTCGTTTGTATTTGTATACGATGCATTGACACATTTAGTAGAGAGTAAAGTATTTCTGGAACATGAGAAAAGAAACTTATATACATATACATACGTACGTACATATATCTGTGTATGCATTCTTGATTTATTAAAAATTCGGTCACAATTGCATTACGTAATACAGATTTCTTTAGATTTGCGATAATCATTCACTTTCGTATCTAAGAGCAAAGTAAAAACCATCGTTTTCAATACTAATAGGAACCGGTAAGTATAATTGTGCTTTGATCGTAACATAAAATGTGTGAAAATTAAATTTTATATTGCATTCTGTATGATATTGTCAGCTAATCCTTGCTTTTTATATTGCTCTATAGTTGCTTACATTGAATGCATTTTATTCCGTTTTTTTTATAAAAAAAGAGACCATCGATCGAATCGATATTATTCACAAAATCGATTTCTATAAGTTTAACTGTTGTTTCTACAAGCGAATCTACAAGAACTCGTTCATTTTCATTAAACGAAATAACGTTTATTAAAAAAGATCAAAAATGTCGGATTGTGTCGCCAGTGTCAGCCTCAATATAAATTCATATAAATCATGGAAATTCCTCTCCTTGTTTTTAATCACCGAGGAAAAGAAAAGTTAATATATCTATACGTGCATGGAATAAAATCGTACAGCAAATAAAAATACAATGTCAAATTAATCATATCACAGTGCACCAGAAAGAGTTTTAATATCACTGTAGTCATTGTTGTATAAACTATACACAATATATATCAGTTTTTACAATGTTTATTTTAATAAATATTGCTGTGGAGATTATTTGTAGCATAATATACGATAAAGTTATCCATTATTAATATCATCGATATCTCTCTGCTTCCTTGTTTTAGAAATCTTGCATAATTATATATCATTTGAATGAATATTTGTATATTCGAAAATAATTCTTAGGTGTGCGTGTATTTCTTTCCCAGCAAATGATTTTATTTATTTTCTATGAATTTTCCTTTT